GGCCCTACCTCCTAATACCATCGTATTGGGAGTTAGAATTTCAACAGATTTTTTTTTTTTTAGAGAGGAAAGAAGCTTTCAATCTATAATAATAACCAAATGTTTTCAGAAATTAGAAATCTTCAGATGTTATGCATATTATAAAAATAAATTTTAGCATAATGCTATATATAGACAGTTTAAAATATTGGTTTGGTGAAAAAGATTCAGAGGAGTATTATAGATATAGTATGTTATTAAGCAACAGAAGCTGCTTATATTTCAACTACAAATAATAGACTTTGAATATATACCACTTCCTTCTTCTGTGATATGCTGGTGGGATCTTATCTACTATTACAGAAAAACATACAGCCTCGTGGTGGGAGCTATCTATATGACATATTGTGGTTGTGTTTTCACTGTCCATGAAATACAAAAAAAAAAAAAAAAAAGAAAATGGGGAAATTATAACAGGAATGCAACCAGTGCTTACTAAAATTTCAAAATCTGCCCTTATAGTTTTCTTACGTATACCCAAGGAAGTAGAAAACCCTCAAAAAGCAATTGCATTCACTTTTGCATGTTTCATATTCAGAAGCAATGTTGGAGACATAGGTGCTCAGTAGGTTCATGGTGAATTAAATCAATCTTTATATCCAGCAAGTCATCACGAGCTCAGGTGATAGTGGTCTGCAGATATAAGCATTTGTATAACTCTTTATGGGTTCCCAAACACTTTGTTCTTTATGGTCTGGTGTGATTGAGTCTTCTTCAATGTTTGCAAAACAGAAATTCTTATTATCTTTACTTCTGGATCTATTGTACTGCATGGTGACCTCAGTAAATAATAATGTGGTGTATATTTCAAAATTGCTAAAATAATAGATTTTTAATATTTTGACCAGAAAAAAATAGGTTGATGAGGGGATGGATATTTTAATAAGGTTGATTAACTCTTTCTACAATGTAGGCATAGATTAAAACATCACAATGTACCCCATACATATACACAATTATTATTTGTCAATTAAAAAAATAAATTAATACAAAAATTGTGGCTTGGAGGTTTACTCAGCATGCCCAAGGCCACCCTGATAAAAGTACTGTTGTAAACTTGGTGTCAATGGCAGGTTGAAAACCCTTATCTTCTGTTCCCAACTCCAGTGCTCCTTGAGTGGCCATCGCCCTACCAACTGAATTTTGTATGTTCAAAAATATTTCCCTTTTTGTTCAATAGTAAGAGAGTCATGATCTGAATCATAATATCATCCTTTTTTTTTTTTTTAATCTCTTCTTTTTTTACAGCCTTTTGTAGAGTTAGCCTGAGGTCCATGGTGATGGTGTGAATTGAACTTACAACTCTGATGACAAAATTCCCTGGGCCAAGCACAGCACTATGTTTACATATAATAATTGCATCAGGGAGTTGTGGGGCCTAATTAATCACTGTTTATAAATCAGCCTGAGATATGAAGCTAACAGATTTTACCAAAATGCACGATATCGGAGGTATAACTGCAGCATGTACAAAAGTAACGCAAATGTCATAAAGCCAGTGAGGCAGAGAGAGTCTATGGGAAGACCTAATTAGTGGAGCCCCTGCAAGACCCTAAGAGATTCTGGGGAGGCACAAGTTCAAATCCCAGTAGCTAAAAGTCAGACTTTTCATCCTCTGGCTACAGTCAGATGAATGAGTCACACCAGTGATGGAACTTAGGGGTACCTTAGATCTGACCTTGGCACCCACTGCATGTGTCTTTCATCTTGAGAGACTGTGTTTATAGAAGACTGATCAATAGGATAATAATCCCATGATCATGTTCATTTACAAGACCACACTTGGAGCTGTCTTTTACATTTTAAGAGGAAGGTATATTCTCCTGAAAAGAATATTTAAACTGTTGTGTGGAATGATGGTTGAGTCAAAGGCTTGGGGTCAGATCTAGGTTCACATTCCTAGTACTTGTTCTTTGGATTAACTTGGCCTAATTGCTTAACCTCGTGAGCATTCATTGACCTCATCCATAAAAGGGTTTGCTGCTAATGAGAGAGTTAAATGAACACTTACTGGAGTGTCTGGCAAGTTGGGACCACTCCACAAATGAGAGCTTTAATCATTCAGAGCAAAGACCTTACATTACACCTTCTGACCCCGTTGTTAGGAGATGAGGAGCCCCAGAGAGGGAAAGTTGTTTATTGAAGGCAGAGACAAGTCTACAATCTGGGTAAGCATAATTCACAAGCCAAGCTTTGCCTCGTATACTATGAAAACACCAGGATGTCTTAAGAAGTGAGCTCCTCATCATTGCAAGAGTTCACACAGAGCTTGAGTTATTTTATTACATTTTATTTTTTAAAGAACCAGCCTGGAAATGCCCTTGGAGCCAGAAAAATCAGGGTTCAAAACTTGCCTACTCACTCTTTATATGACCTTGGGCTATGTCAGAGTCTTTTCTTTCTCTTTTGTAAGAGGGTCATATATTCTTATGGAGTGAATGTTTGTGTTCCACCCTAAATTCATATGTTGGAGCTTCAAGCCCCAATGTGATGGTATGAGGAGGTGGGGCTTTTGGGATGCAATTAGGCTTAGTTGAGGTCATGAGGATGGGCTCTCATGATGGGATTAGTATCCTTATAAGAAGAGGAAGCAACTGGAACTCTCTCACTCTGCAGCAGGTGAGGATACAAGGAGAGAATGAGTGTCTACAAAGTAGGACAAACAACCTCACCAGAACCAGACCATGCTAGCACCATGATCCAAGACTTGCAGCTTCTAAAACTATGAGAAATGTCTGTGGTTTAAGTCATCAGGTCTATGGTATTCTGTTATGGTAGTCTGAGCTGCCACATTTTAAATGGTATTATAGAAACATAAATAAATAAATGTAGATAAGCAAATAAATAAAAATAATCTTTTTGAGGCAGAGATAAGCCCAATAACTAATCCAGTGCTGACATGATGGAGATATTCAATAAATAATAGTCTCATTTCCTCTTTTCTTGTATTGTAGATTCAGTAAATCAGCTCTAGTTCCTTGTTAGGCAAATGACTTTCTTGATTCTTGCATAGCAGAATTAGATTTTTGGCCATTATTCCAGAATCTAAGATATTTTGGTATAAGGAGGGAAACCTCCAGGTGAAAAATGTATTTGTATCTGCAATTCTGTTATTGTTATTGTTTCCCTGCACTCAGAGAGACTGCTGAGGACACAGAAGTCCCAGCTGGTTAGCAGGAGTGTGATTTACTGGTATCTTCCCTTGAGCAGGAGCTGGAATGCATTCTTATTTGCCAAACATTGCCTTGATTCCTTGGAACAAAACTGCAAGAGACCGTGGCTTCCTCTGTCTGGCAAGCCAAGACAACAGGAGGGGTTAACGCACTTCACAGTGAATTCTGATTTATAAAATATGCCTAGAAGCTTATGAATATGGATATGATTTATGCAAACAAAAGGTCACATGGCTAACAATTGAGGGAGACAGTATTTAAAAATGCAATGCCATAGCAAGGATTAAGGTGATGAAAGAAGTTTAAGAAGGGAGATACAGGAGTCCAAGAGGATATGTGGCTTGGCAAAGACTGATAAAGATCAAGAGGAAGGCAGGGACCAGAGGCTGCTCTGATGCAAGGGAGACACTGGCCCAGGGGAGTGTGGGAGGTGAACCAAGAGGGATCCGAAGAGGTGAGGAAAGTAAAGTGGGAACTTAAAGCAGTTAGGGAAGAGGAGAGACGAAAACAGGTCAAGGCAGCCACCTTGAAGTATTAATGTCTTCAGAGAGAATGAAAAAAAAAATTCTTAATAATGGATTGGGGAAAAAAGTTGTGAAAGTCTTTTCTGTGGCATTTAAACTAATAAATATGTATAACTTTTAAAGGCTGTATGATGTGTGGTATATGGAAGCACAGCTATTTTTGGTATATTCAATTAAGGAATACTCAGTAGAATATAGTCAAGCATCCTATAGGACTGATTTCATGATTATGGGTAAAGAACTTCTCAAGTGCTTGGAAGTTTGGTTTGGGGCCTAAGATGTGAAACTTGGATTGATCTTTGAATATTGATTTTAACAGGATTTTCCAAGTGGTTTTATTGACTCATTAAAGCACTCAAATAGCAGAGGACAAGTGACAAACGATAGGAGACTGACATTTTATGAGGGCTTACTATACCCAGGTACTACACGACAATCTAACTCATATTTTCCCCAAAATGTTGTGTCTTTGTCTAATTCAATTTTCAGCCCAAAAGGAGAGGACATGATTCAGTTGCATGTATCCTGTAATTCCTAATTTACTTATATATGTTCTAAAAATAGTACCCTCAAATCATTCATTTTCTACTCTTAATTCATATGAGTAATATGGAAATGATTTTATCTTAAGTTTCAGGGATGGAGATGTTTAATCATAGCATCGTATCAATCAGACTATACTCATCATTGGTTAGTTGAGAGATGGGTAAAGGACACAATATTGTAATCATAGAATTAAAATATTGAACAATAATTAGAGCCCAGGAGTAAACATGGAATCACCCTTAATGACTATGTTTGACCTTCTCAATGTACACCTTTCCTGAACAATTTTAGTTAAGAGAGAAAATATATTCTCTCTCTCCCTCTTTCAATTTTGAGTTGGCCTCCACTACTTGTAAATAAGAGGCTGGCTACCCTATGGTATTGGTATTGGTATTCCATGACCAATATTTTTTAGAGACATTGAATCCTACATATCATTTCTAGATATTCGTAATTCACATTAACATATAAAATTCTTATTAAGTTCCACCTTAAGCAAATTCACATAATTTTGTTTAATATAGCAATTCCCAAATACATTTGACCATGCCAGTTTTTTTTTTTTCCAGAGTACCTATTTATGTACTCTGTAATTAACATTTTTACAGAATGTTCTTAAGGATCTGCTGATCTAAATGAATCCTCACAAGGATTATAAGGAAGATATTATTATTCCTCTTTTCATGTAAATAAACTGAGGCTTAAAGAGGTGACTTACTTGAACTAGGTCTCAGAGCAAACAGCAAGGGTGGGAAATGGGATAGGAACCCAGCTCTGACGAATTCTAAAGTCCTTGATTCAGATCCTGGAGACCAAAGGAAGCCCAAGAAAATAGTTAAAGAAATCAGAGCCCAAGACTCATTATCCTCTCCAGAGATCCACTTAAAAATATTTCATAAGGTTGCTGTGGAATCACCACCAAATATTCAGTCCTACTGAAGCTAAACCCTGTGAATTCACACAGGGTCCCTTGTCATTAAACATCATCAGGTATATTTTGGTAACTTCTGGCCATGTCCTGGTGCCTGCCTTCCAGAAGCTTAACTCTAATTTTTTCATTTATAACTCAGCAAAAAGGGGGAAAAAGTTGGGATTCCAATGTATACATGCCTGAAAAGAACACATGCACTTTTAACAACTTTGGTCTATTTCCTCCAAACACGTGAGAGAAGAAACATACTGCTGTAACTGTTGTCCGGTGAGTCATGTGAGGTATTCATGGAAGATAGTAAAGAGGATGCAGCAAAAGACTTTGGGGAAAGTGCTCAGTTTAGCCCAGAAATGAGCAGAACTAATTTCACATGGAGGTAACTTTTGAGTTGGGTTTTATTATAAAAGATGGTGGAATTTCGACAGATGGAGAGAATGGAGGGAGGTCCAGCCTCTGAGATCATCTTTATATACAGTTTTTATTTCTCTGGCACAGTGAAGACAAGGACATCAGCTTTGGACTCTGTTAGGTTCTCAGTTAGCTACTGAGTATCTTTTCCTCAAAGAATGGCTGGCAGAAACTAATATTCAGATACTTTCTTAAAAGGGCTTCTCAAACTATCCTTGACCCAAGGATTTCCACAATTCTAGAGGAGATAAAATTTACAGATGCATAAATTATAGAAAAGTACCCATTTTGAATGGTCCTGGTGTGACAGAAGGGACTTGTCTTGGAAGAGGGTCTTCTGAAATAAATATGAGGGTCTCCCAAACTGGGTGGGGAATGACTCCCAGCTCTGAGTTTCATTTAGCTCAGTAAACAATACCTAAATGCAAATGAGAGAACTGGAATTTTCACATTGGGATGTAGGTGTAGGTGTTTCTTATAATAATAGCTGGTATTTGTTTAGTCCTTCTTATGAGTCAGCCGCATGGTGCAGATGATACCCATTCATTATCTTGCTGCATCTAAGGAAACATATGCCTTTATCACTCCCCATTTTCCAGATAAGTAAACTAAGCTTCAGAGATTAATTACCATACCCAAAGCTGCACAGTTAAATGTAGATCTTGGATTTGAACTCAGGGTCTCCAAATCCAGAAGCTTTGTTTTGAATTTTTATGCTTTATTTCCTTCCAAAAGCCTCCTCCTCTCCATATGCTGCTGGAGCTGATGGGCACGGACGCTCCGAGCCACACAGCGAGTCCCAAACTTCCCAAGTACAGTTCATGCTGAGTAATGTGGAGCAAATCCTCCCTATTATTTCAAATCACATGGGATGTAGCTAGGAAGTAGGAATTAATGGAAAATCAGGCTTACAGGACTTTTTAAAAACAAATAGAATTATACTAAATACAGGCACATCCTATGTCTATTTTATTTTTTGTTTGTTTGTTTGTTTTTTTTTGTTTTGTTTTTTGTTTTTTTTTTTGAGACAGAGTCTCACTTTGTTGCCCAGGCTAGAGTGAGTGCCGTGGCGTCAGCCTGGCTCACAGAAACCTCAATCTCCGGGGCTCAGCGATCCTACTGCCTCAGCCTCCCGAGTAGCTGGGACTACAGGCATGCGCCACCATGCCCGGCTAATTTTTTGTATATATATTTTTTTTAGTTGGTCAATTAATTTATTTCTATTTTTGGTAGAGACGGGGTCTCGCTCAGGCTGGTTTCGAACTCCTGACCTTGAGCAATCCGCCCGCCTCGGCCTCCCAAAGTGCTAGGATTACAGGCGTGAGCCACCGCGCCCGGCCCCTATGTCTATTTTAAAAAGTGTATCTTTGCCTTTTCCTAAAAAGGGATAGAGGTAATCCCTTCCCAGAAGCAAAGATACACACTGTAACCAAAATGTCTAAAAAAAAAAAAAAAAAAAATCTGCTATTGGGAGGTAGACAGGTGGAAAGGGGGAGGCGGGGAAGGGTATGCACTTACATGGTGGGTGCAGTGAGCACCACTTCGAGGCTGGGCACGCTTAAAGCTCTGGCATAATGGGGTGGGGGGACAGGGGCAAGATATGTAACCCTAACAATATTTGTACCCACATAATATGAGATAATAAAAAATAAAAAAAATAAAAAAGTGTATAGAAAGAATACAAGACAGTTATTTGGATTGGGTTGACAAATTACTACAGTAAGCAGGCCCATGAAGAAACTGCTTTAATAATGATCTAAAATTATTTATAAACTATCTTATAGATTTAGTGAGGTTGTACCTTCTTCCAGGGTTAGATTTCAGTCAGTGCTTAAGGCAAAAATTGTGTATGTTATAAATTACCTTTAAAAATCCCTCAAATAATAATTATAACCAATACAAAATATCTACTTATTGTGTGACAAATAGTTTATGTATTAATACATTCAATCCTAACAAGAAGTCCAATTATCATCCCCACTTTATAGATGAGTAAACTGAGTCGCAGAAAGGTTAAGTCACTTGCCTAGTGCCCTGTCGTTTGTGAGTAGAAGTTGTGAGAGTTGAAGCTCATCAATTTTGTTCCAGATACCATGTTCTTAATTGCTGCGCTTGATTGCCTATTATGCATAATCATGCAATGGCATTCCTTATCTTCACTGCTGTCTTGGTTTAGAGGCCATGGCATATAATTATTTATCTAAACACCAACAAACACACTCATGATGGCAAAATGCTCAACCATGATTCAAGAATGGCTGATTTGAACCTTCCACACATATCACAGGTACTTTGGGGTGTACACACATTAATGGACTGTTGAGAAAATTTCCCAAATTTAATTTATTGTGATATTCTTTCTCTTGCTTTCTTATAAAGTTGGTATCTGAGCAAATTTAATGTGTTCAATTCTACATTTGTTTTTGGAGAGAGGACTCATGAACCTCTTCATGCTGTCACTGAAGTCCCTCTAAGTTGAATATGTTCAGGATTCAACTTCACTCTATTTTGTGAATTATTCTCTACCTACTGGAGATGAATAATTGATTCTAAAATTCTTCATAAAACATTCTACTGTCCTCCTCAGTTTAAGCACCTTGGCTTCATAAATGTGCTTAGATTTTTCTATAGACAGACTTGAACTACTGACTCATCCATTCCAGAATGCAAATTAGTGATGTCTGAATTACTGAGTTAACTTCACTAGCTCTCCTGAATCAATCCATCAAATATCTGCAGCACAATTTCCACTCCAGTGACTGCAGCTGGTGATAAAATGGGCACCTATAACAGTGGCTTTCCCTTAAGGAGGGTCAAGATTTACAAATGTGGTTTAATTAGTGAATAACAAAATGCATGAATATTATGGTACTTAATTCAGCATGCACAGTGCAGATAATTTGTCAGAAAAGGGAATTGTCAGCCACCTTTAGAAGGAAATTCTCTTTAGAGGAGGTAAGAAATGGGACAAAGTGGAAACCGAGGTTTTTGACTCTCTACAATAGCAGTAATAATAGTAGTAGTAATGATAATAGATTTTACTGAGTAGCTAATATGCCCAGTCAGCATTGGGCTGTTCCATGAGATGATGCTTTATGCGCATTTCCCTTATCAGATATGTGACTTCATTTGTCTCTTTCATATATATTTAGAAGTAGGTAGACAAAGATAATATTGGCTCAGTTTTGTAGTTAAGGAAGGATAAAAAAGAGAAGGATACGTAAATTGCCCAAATTCATGTTCATTGATTCCAAAATACTTGTGCAATGTTGTGTAGAAAGCTATGACTATGTATTAAGCAAACATATGATTCTTGCCTTCTCAGAACTCATTTTGAGAGATATTAATGATATTATCACAGAAATAAATAATGGCAAGCCGCTGTAAATACTACTTGGGAAAAGTCAAAGTGCCGTGAGCACATGTAGCAACAGAAACTAACTCACTTTGAGAAACTGAAGAACATGCCCATGCTGGAGAGACCTGTGAACTGGTATCTGCAAGAGGAGGATGGAGTTAATTACTTGGAAATTGGTCAAGGTAAGGAGAGATGAATGGGCTTCTTGAGACATCCCTGGCAGAGATAAGACATTGTATGAATAGACTGAAGTCAAGAGAAAAGTTTCCCCAAAGACAGAAAGTATCTTTGTAGCTCAGAGAACAACATGGAGTATTGCAGAGGCTACATAGACAGGTGCAAATCATGCAGAGTCCTGTGAGCTCGGTTAAGGTATTTGTTTTTTATTGTAGAGAAGCCGTTGTTAAGTTTTAAGAAGAGGAGTGGCTTTTGTATGTTAAAAAGGTCCTTCTGGCTGCAGCATGGAGAACATATTAATGAAAGCTGAAGAAGAGACAAGATGCTGGGCAGGAGATTCTTCCAGGGGTGAAGAGGAGCACAGTGGCCTGACCTAGGTAGTATCAAAGGATGGGAAACAAGTCAGTGTATGTCAGAAATTTTCAAGACATAAAATTAACATAGCTGGAACATTGATTGGCATGGGGTGGAGGAGGGGCTGAAGAAATGGCAGAGCCAGTCATCTTGGATCCAAGTCTAGGGCTCTACACAATGTGACAAGGCTTGCTGTAGCCAGGGACTTGTTCTTAATTTAGATCTCAACTATATCTGGGCAATGAACAGTGAGCTTGGGAACTAGGGATGCAGAGACTGGTTAGGAAATGAGGCCACTTCCCAAGTTCTGCTGTGGTATTTTGGATGCTGGAGTTGTGGGAATTTGTGGAGGAGTTTGCGTGTGTGAGAGAGATTGAGAGAGCGAGAGAGAGAGCGCTCACTAAGTTTTCTCTCCTGCCCCAGTTTCTATGAGCTGCTCTGTCTTTTGTGTTCTTTGCCAAGAGGAAAGAAAACAGATTGTTCTTGCTTAGAGCATTCAGCTGACTCGACTGATGCCAAACCAAAAAAAGCCCTAAGAACATAATAATAATTGCTCATGTGTACACATCACTTTACAGTTTACCGAGGGCTCTGCATTACACTCCTAAAACTGCAAACCCCGTGAAGCAAGCACCCTGCTCTTAATTTTACTTCAATTTGAAATATGAAAAGAATGTTCAGAGAGGTTACAATGACAGGGTTTAGCCATACAGCGTGTTTATATAATCCAGATCTCCGGACATTACACTGAGTTCTCCTTCCATTGGCCGTATCAGGCTTGAGTTCTCCGTGAAGGGGCCACCAATGCCGTGGAGGACTGAGTATACAGTCCTTCCCCATTTACAAAGCCCCTTCATACTGGGCTTCTCACTTCTTTCATCACAAGACTTAAGTTATCATTCTCACCTCAGATGAGAAAACAGAGAGTCACAGATGCCCAAGTCTAATAGCATGTGGTAGAGTTGGGAATGGAGCCCAGTTCTCCTTTTGCTGCCCTTTGTTGCCTACCAGGGCTGCCGTTGAGCTAAGGGGCATGAGACCTTAGGTTCAGGGAGGAAGATTTAAATAATTCAACTATGATGTGTGTTGGGGATGCTCACAAATCTAGAGTCCAGGTTAAAGCTCTCAACTGAAGGAGTCCAGGTCGACAGCAGTGAGGAGTGGTTGGGTTAAGGGCAGCTGTTGTTGCAGTCTCCTAATTGGAAATAATTGGGATTCTGTCTCAAACCACAAAGCCCTGATTTAACCAACTCAGCCTCAACCAGGAAGCATCTGTTGCCATCTCCAATGGCAACTGTTCAATCCCCACTCCAGCATGCCATTCTTCCCTGCCAACTGGCAGGCAGTTACCACTCAGAGCCTGCAGGCTTCTAGACCCAGCCCGGAGGCCCCAGGAAGAATCAAGTTAGGTCAACTTCTTAAATTAGGATAATGTGAGTGTGGTGGCTCATGCCTGTAATCCTAGCACACTGCAAGGCGGAGGCAGGAAGATGGCTTGGGCTCAAGAGTTCAAGACCAGCCTCAGCAAAAGCAAGACCCTCCCCCCAACCCCTGCTTCTCTACAAAAAAATAGAAAAAATACCTGGGTGTTTTGGTGTGGGATTGTAGTCCCAGCTACTTGGGAGGTTGAGGCAGGAGGATCGCTTGAGCCCAGGATTCTGAGGTTGCAGTGAGTTATGATGACTCCATTGCACTCTAGCCCAGTGACAGAGCAAGACTTTGACTGAAAAAAAAAAAAAAAGAAAAAGAAAGAAAAGAAAAGACTTAGGATAAGGTGAAGAGTGGGGGAGGGTGGAAAGGCCTAGCACAGTGCTAAATGACTCTCTCTTGGGCAAAGAGAACTAACATTTCTGAGGAGGCATCAGGCACTGTGCTGGGAAATTGATACATGCAAATTGATTTCATAAACCAATGATGCAGAGGATAATGCCATTTTAAAGAAGAAATGGACTCACAGAGGTTATGCTGTTGGCCCTAGAATAATGAGCTAGTGCGTGGTGGCACTAGGATTAGATTCCTAGTTTCCCCAGTGCCAAGGCTGTGCTCCTTCCACATTTCCACTCAGGCTCCTGCTTTATCATCCCCTATTGTGAAGACGCTCTATCCTATCTGGAGTATTCCTGGCTTCACTTCCACCTCTATCTCAGGGCAGAGATCAAGAACCACCTTTATGAAGCCTTCCCTTTCCCCTCAGGTGAAGGCATGGACAGAGAGTGGAGTCCCAGAACTAAGACAGCTGGGAGAAGACCTTGGGAAGGAAGGAAAACTGTGAGTTGCTGAGTGGCAAATGATGGCTGTTCCTACATTACCTTGCATTTGGGATGCAGGAAACAGACTTCTGTTTATTATGTTAATGAATACTCTGTGATTCTCCATTGCTTATGTATAATTAAGGTGGCCTTTTTAAAAAATACCTTCCTCTGGAGTTTGGGAAAACTGAAATGTTTGTTTGGATTGGTAATAACTAATAACAGGAAATACAGCAACTGCTTCCAAAAGAACTGCAAGAAATGGGCTGCCTGATGGCACGAGGAAGATGTGGAAGAGAATCCATTGTTGGTAGCTCTGCAGGGAGTGAGGAATGGATCAAGGGGGCAATTGTTCTAATCTTCTCCAGTCAACCCATTTTAAGGCACTCTTAGCACCACAATTCAGGAAGAAAATTGACAACTGGATCAGGTCCAAAGAAGAACCTTCAGATGGCAAAAGAGCTTGGGATGATTGCATACAGGGCTGGGCAAGATGGTAGAACTACTCTGGGCATCATTTTTCTCAATGTAAAGATGAGCAGATACAAGGCAATTGGTGTTTCTCCATTTTACATCTTTGCTACTTAGTATTTGTTTGCTTAATGATGATGGGATAAAGTAATGGACCATGGATCACTCTCAGAATCTACCAATCAAATATGTATTGAGCACCTACCCTGTGCCTGATAGAATTCCAGGTGTTTGGATGACATCAATAAACATAGGCTTGAGCTCATGGAACTTATATAACTTACATTTCTAGTAGTGCAGGATGAAATAAAGCAGTAAACCGACATATGGAGAAGATAATTTTAGAATGTGATAGGAATTATCAAGAAAACAAAACAGAATAATGAGGGTAATGTGGTAAAGGGAATAGTTTGGCTGTGAAGAAGGTGATATTTCAAGTTTGGAGATGAATGGCCAGAAGGAATCAGGCCAGCACAGACCTGGAGGCAGGGCATTACAGGCAGAGGTAACAGCTAGTGTAGATTTCCTACAGCATGAATCCGTTTGGTGTGTTTTTGCAATAGATAAAGGGCAGGGGTAGGTGTGGTCCAGTGAGTCAGGGGAGAAGGGCAAGAAATGAGGTCAGAGAATAAGCAAGGGTCAGATCATTTAGGGCCCATTCATGAGATTTTATTCCAAGTTAAGTGGGAGGGAGCCTTCAGAGGGTTTGCTGTAAAGTGGTGGCATGGTATTTATATGATTATAATTATGGACTCTATTCACAATACATGCACATAATCACCAAATTGATTATTGTTTTAGAGGCTCCCAGCTCTCCCTAAATCCCATTCATGTTCCTCCTCAATGTTATAAAATCATAAGGCTCTTTCTAGTTCTTACATGGCATGAGTCTACATGACACATATTTGAAGAAATAGGATTGTCTAGCTGAAAGGCTATAATTAACAGCAATCTTTGATAATGTAAAGAATGCTGAGCAAATGAGAGTTTGGATTTATAGAACACAGCGCTGGGCTACTCTGAACTGCTGGCTCCAGTGTCTCTCCCCCCTCCCTCTTCTCCCTCTTCCCCCATCCTTGTGGCATTCTTGTGTGGAGAGTTAGCTGCTATTTGGAAAGCAAAAAAAAAGTCCTAACCAGGACCAATGTTCATAATGATAGGAAGGGAGAGTATATCTCCTTACATTCAAGTCCTAGATTTTCACTGTCTCTTTCATGAAGCCGTTCTCAATACTGACACATTTATTTGTAAATGTGTTTTATTTCTTCAATTTGCATTTAAGCTCCTAGAGTGCTATATCCCTGCATGATTTATATTTAGATAGAGTCTTGCCTCTCCGACTATCCTGAAAAGATCTCAAAAATAGGAACCATGTTTTCTTTTATACACACACACACACACACACACACACACACACTCACAACATAGTTTCTGTGTAATGGGCTGAATGAATTGGATCCACCCAAAATTCAAATGTTGAAGTCCTAAACTCAGTACCTCAGAAAGTGATTGCCTTTGGAGATAGGGCATTTAAAGAGGTAATTAAGGTAAAATATGGGTGGGATTAGGACACAGACATGTGCATGAACTGAGGAAAAACCATGTGAGGACACAGCAAGAAGGCATCCATATGTGAGCCAAGGAGAGAGGCCTCAAAAACACCCAAACATATTGACATATTGGTCTTGGGCTTCTAGCCTTCAGAACAGTGAGAAAATAAATTTCCATTGTTGAAGTCACCTAGTCTGTGGTATTTTGTTATGGTAGCTAGCAATCTAATATAGCCTGCTACTGTATGTATGTGTGTGTGTATGTATGTGTGTGTGTTGTATGTGTATGTGTGTATATATATGTGTGTGTGTGTGTATATATATATACATATATATATACACACCAAATCAAATCAATAATTACTCTAGAACTTAAGTGCCCTAATCTGTTATAATCTCTGTGAGGGAGACATTATTCCTTCTTTTCATTGTTGTGCCTGGTTTAGTACCTAACACATACTAGGCACCCAAAATATATTTGTTCAGTAAGTGAATGAACCGAGATTTCCTGGAGCTAGAAGGGATCCTAAAGCTCATGTGGGTCAGTAGTTATTAAGCTGTCTTGTTCCAGTAGAATCCTTCTGAACTCTTATATTAATATGAAGACCCGCTATCTAACGTGGTTAAGAGCAGGGCTTCTGTGGTTAAGGAGGTAGGTGGTAGACTAGGAGACTGGCTTCTGCTCACCAGACTTGTGGACATTCTTGGGCAGTGTGGGTGATCTAGAATTGGGCTCAGGAAAGTTTTTCCACAAAGGGCCACTGAGCAAATTTCTATGACTTATTTGTTCTACTACCACTGTGGCACCCATGAAGGGTATATACACGAATGACCATGACTGTGTTCCAATAAAACCTTATTAACAAAAACAAGGAGCAGGTCTGGTGTGGCCCATGGGCTATAGTTTGCCAACCTGTGATCTAGAGGAACCTGACTATTTCACAACTGAGGAAATGAGCCCCAGAGAGCACATTGGATAACTGCATTTATTAAGGCTCTGCTACTGGTTTCATTTCCTGCAGTCTACAATAAGGGGCATCATTTTTAGGACATATATGATCATATCTTTCCTTCGTTTGTTCAGTGCAAGGCTCTCAAATGCCAACAGCATAAAGTCCAAATTCCTTAAACAACCAAGAAAGTCTCTCTGGTTGCTGCTAGTTCCTCCCATCTCCTCTTCTCCCACTCCTCTGCATGACCAGCTTCCTCCACTCACGTACCAATCTGGGGCATTCTGATCTATCCTTTTTCATGTCCCTGAATCTTTTAATATGTTATTTTCTTTATCTGGAAAATTATTTCCCTATTTCTTATCATCTTGGATGTCCTTTCCTATCATTCGAGATTTTGTGCAAATGTTAATCCCTTCTTTAGCATGAAACTCTGTATTAGTTATGTACAAGGTAAGAGCTACAATAACAGAGAGATCCCAGTACAATAGTTCAAACAAGCAGACATTGATTTCCCTGCCACATAAGATTCCAGAGGTGAGTGGTCTAGTCTCAGTTCTCCAAGGTCACACAGGGGCCCAGGTTACCTCTAGAGAAGTGCCCCGCGGCCCCCTGGGGGTGTTACGCTCCCCTGGGCAATCACCTGGTATCCAGCAGGACATGAGGGGGAGCAGGGAGTGAGTTGAGGACAGAAATTTTCTGTAAAGATTATGACCCAGCAGTTGGATACCTTACTTCCATTCCCATCCATGAGCAGAACTAAGCCCCATGCTTGCCTACAGTGAGGTACAGGGGCCATCCATGCACCTAGCTTAGTCTTGGCAGGCTCCATTGTTATGTGGAAGAAGGGAAGAAAAGGAAGAAGGGAAAAAAAGGAAGAAGGGAAGAATTCTGTGGGGAAATTAGCTGTTTCTACCACAATATCTGGTTTGCACTAATCTCTTTTCCTTGTCCTTCCACAACATCATAGACATACCTTTATTCCTAAACTTACAAATTGTTTCATGGTGATTTGATTTGTCTGAATTGTAAGAACATCAAGGGCAGCAGGATATTTTTTGTGTGTGTGTTTGTTTGGAGTTTTTTTTTTTTTTTTTGGCTCAGCTTTTTGACCAAGTTCCTAGCACTAGGCTTAGCACTAAGTGAATGAATCCAAACAATAAAAATGACAGGTTCACAGAGTTGAAGTGATTTTCCTAGTTTACTACATACCAGTGCCAGGGTCTGCCACTTCCCTGCCCTGATTTAGAGAAATAAGAGGCAGATTCAAGGTGCTAGAACTAAGGGTTTCTGAAGCACTGAGAACAGCTATGAGGACAGGCCCAGGTCAGATCAAGGGGACAAGTGACTAGGGAATAACACCCAGGCTCACCCATGCTGTGATGCGTGTATTTGAGTGAGACTGCTCAGTCGCCAGTATGGCAGGTGGGGACAGTGCTACCCCTCTCTCCATACCAA